GAGAGAGAGAGAGAGAGAGAGAGAGAGAGAGAGAGAGAGAGAGTGTGTATGTGTGCGCGCGCGTTTCTTGGATGAACGAATGCTTCTCTTTGGTGTAGTCGACCTTTCGACACTCGGAATTTAGATGAGCCGCGTTCGCAGCCGAGTTACATTCGCGACTTTACATACGAGGACACTTCTTCGCTCTCAACGTCTCAAGTGTCATGTACTGCTGACGCAATCGTTAAATCAAGATCTTATTAACGCTTTACTTATCGACCCCGCCTAGAAAGCCCATTGACTGGTTTCCGTAGTTTGGTGAAGTGTTAAAACGTGTTTTGTTTCGTCGAATTTTATGTTTTTAATTTGTCGAAGTTTAAATGGTAATCAATATTAAAGGGGAGGGGAGAGAATTGAACACGTGTTCAGTTTTGGCTGCCGCGGATCTGAAGAGCGACGAAGTCTCGCGCGAATATACGGTAACACGAGAACGGAGTCCACGGAGAGCCTTTTTGTGTCGCGCCGACTTGCCGTGTCAAATTCGCCTCGGCTACGATCCGAAAAGAAGTCGCCGCTCGTTAAGCGCTTTGTTTTCTCCGGCGTGTGCTCTTTGTGGTGTCGTGATTCACGCGAGCCGCGCGTGCATATTTACCCACCTATTCCGCGAAACGAAACACTAGCTGGGCGTGCTCCGCGTCGCTCTCTTATCGGCCGCAGATTTCTATCATCTCGAGCCACCGGAACATCTCATTTTGCAAAATTTGCCAACTCCGTCGTTTCGCAAGTAGTTCTGTGCGTATAAGATTTCTAAGAAAAAAAGACACGAACATATTACATCTAATTTGATCGTGAAATTTTTTTTAACTCTGGGATCTTAAACAAATTACATTATTATAAGCAAATTACATAAATTTAAATTTGATATTTTAGGCTTTCGCGGTGTTCATGCGTATTAGATTTGGTTTCCGGGTTTGATTCCAATCAAAGAAGAATCCACGCGGCTCAAACCCGGAAACCAAATCTAATATACATAAATCTAAATATGAAAAATTTGACCTAATGTGCGTTTTCATTTGCTTATAACTGCCTGAAAAATAATCGAAATTTTTAATCTTTTCTTTTTTTAATTGATATGGAGAACATTGAAGAATATGAATCTATTAATATTTCTGCAATCCAATGAAATTGAAAGATGTTATAATGAAGAAACAAAACATATGTTTTTAAGAACGTTTGAAAAGTTGATCTTGGTAAATTTTACCCAGGGTTAAGCTGTCGCTT